TGTGTTGCTAGAAGTGCCACCCCATCCTCTTCCTTCTTGTATACACAAATAAGGTTCCAATAAGATGATTTGTCATTAATAGCTTATTATAAATTGTTAACATAATCATATTAATTATCTTATTTAAGTAACACTAAAATTTTAAATATTATTAGGAATTCATGATGCTAACTTATGTTAATAACAAATAAAGTTCCTTTTCATAGCACATGTGTATGTTATACCATACTATTGGTTATGAACGTGCCAAACATTTATTATACCAAGTATTATATAACATAAATTTAGATTAATTATTGAACAAGTAAGGTATTAAAAATTAATAAGATAAAAATGATACGTGAATAGTGTCAAGTAAATTTCACGTGGCGCATTGAAATCCATATTGAGTTTATATTATATTTATCCTAACACTATTAGTGAAACCTTTTCTTTTTTACATAATAAACTTAACTAAATTTAATGAAGAAAAGAAACATAAATAAACAAGATAAGAACATAATTATATAAGTATAGTAAAGAAAATAAAAGGCATGAATAAAATATTAATGAAAGCAAAACTTAAGCATTATATATATAAAAAAAGTAAGAACATGATCTTGATCTGAAAATCAAGATGCCTAAATGCATGGCAAATGCCTCCTTTTATAAGTTAAAATTTAAAACTATTGATTTGATAATTTTCATGAAAATTATAGGAAATTGTCTCAATTTTCCAACAAAAAAAGAATCAGTGCATTTGAACTTCTAAAACTCGAGATATAAGCTAAACACTAAACAATATCTAGGTTACAGGGGAGATTCAGACTTCTCTTTTAATGCTAAGAGTTCGACTTCCAAATGACAGAATTGAGTCTTGGACTGTTATGAATATTTTAGGCATATGTCATAGCTTTCTAGCTATATAAACCAAACTAAAATTCAAGATCTACAACTCTAAATATGACCCAATAACTAACAGTGTTCTTGTTTGGACTGAACCAATATCTCTTTTCTAAGTTAAGTCCTCTCTTTGTCTTCTCAATTTCAGTAGTTAAACTCATCAATTAATCCCTTGATTTATCTAATAGGCATGCATTTAAGATGAACATTTATCATAAATTAAAGATATCTTGAACATTTACCACAAATTAAAGGTATCTTATATTATTAGATATATTATTACAAAATATGCTTTAGTTAAGAAGTTATTGATACTTCAAGTGCAAAATGATGATATAAAACCTTGATAAAAATACACTTTTAAGTACTAATCAATCATCCTCTCTTTTTGTTGGTGCTGTGCATGTTTTTGTTAGTGGTTTAGTTTGTTGTTGGCAGGCCTTTGTTTTTCCCTTGTTTTCTCTCACCTCATTTGAAAAGTACAATTTGACCTTCTTTGTTATTAGTAGTTCAATTTTAGTCCTTATTCTTTTAATTTTTGAACCTTTTTGTAGAAGTTTTATTTATTTTCAATTTCATTCTTTATTTTCATTTTACTAAATATTATATTATCTAATTTACTCTTATTCTTTTGATTTCTAATTTTTTTCTTGATCTTTTTGTAAAAATTTTATTGGTTTTTAAATTATTTGGGAACCTATCATTTTTTGCATAAAAAATATTGCAATTACTCTTTAATTTAAATTAATGATATTATATTTTTCATTTGATCCTTATTATCTGACTTCTAATTTTTTTCTTGTCTCTTTTATAAAAGTTATTATTCTTTTTAATTTCATCTTTTAATCAAAACATTGTTTTTGTATTTTTTTTATATCAATTTTAATCCTCATTCTTTTTATTTTTTATCCCTTTGCTAAATTGATTTTTCTTTTCAATTTCACCCTTTAATCAAATAATTTTTTTTTAATTTTGATTCTCATTATTTTAATTTATATTTTTTTTCTAATCCTTTTGTATAATTGAAATTCTTTTTTCAATTTCATTCTTTAATATTTGATTGATTGAGATTTGGATTGCATGGTTTTTTTCATATTAGATGCTTCAAGTATAATAACCCGAGTTACAATTTTGTTAAGTCAACATTTTTAAGGGTTTTATAATTTTATAATTTTTTTATTGAGTTATTCGAATCTTATGATTTAGGTTATAGGTTTAATAGGATATCCTAAATTAACTCGATCTTGATTATCGGGATTACAAGTTTATTATGATTGGTTTACACACACACACAGATATATATATATATATATATATTATTTGGCACCTAAATATCATTTTTTGCATAAAAAATATTGCAATGAAGTGCGGGCACCAAGCTAGCAGAAACTAATTAAGTAGTTTTTGAAATTAGACAGATTATTTAACTTATTTTGCAAAACTAGAAGAAACAGTTCTATAAAATGAACATAGCAACTCGAACAATTTAAAGTCATGCAATTAATTCATAGTTCGAAAGTTGTTGCTCAATTAACACTATTATATTTTGCTTTCTTCAAGAAGTTTAAAGTTTAAACCTCTTTCTTCGCCATAGAAAAAATCTGCTCGAACAATTTACAGCCATGCGATTAATTCATAGCTCGAAAGTTGTTGCTCAATTGGCACTAATGTTTTTTTTTTTTTTCCCTTCAAGAAGTTTGGAGTTTAAACCTCTTACTTATTTCTAACAAGAGAAATAATCTCCTAGTTTTATTTATGAACAAAACCCCGTAAAAAAAAATTCAAATACTTGTAACTTAACCCTTTTAGTTTATCAAGATTAATTAACTAATTCTCGTAATTTAGAGACTATATATATCTCTATATTTTAAATTTTTTTATTTAAATTTCATGTTCATGTTCATTTTCAATTTTAATTTCATGTTCTATTTTTAGTTCTTGAAAATAGAATAAAGAAAAGATAATTAGTTTAATAGGGAGCTTAAGATTAGTTTGCAAAAGAACGTATTTTCTGGAAAATTGAAAACTATATCGGTGAAGGGACCATTTGATTATTTCTAATACTATAGGAACTAATTAACTAGTTTTAATAAACTACAAGAATTAAGTTATAATTAATTAACTCAAAAAATTGGCTTCGTGCATCACAATTACTCGTATAATACCCTTTAAACATTTACACATGGAGAGAGCCCGAAATCGAATGCCTCGTTCTTACTGCAATTAAAAAATATATTCTTACACATTTTATATATATATTAAGAAAAAAAGCAGCAAATATAATCATATATATTCAAGCTGAAACACAAAAATTGTATAAAGTGCAATTACAGATAACGGATTAAGACGTTACAATTAAAGTTCATTGGAGTATTACATAGAGATAATTAAAATCCTAGAGGATTGTAAAGCAGTAAATTATTATTTTTTTAATCAACATTGTAAGAAGTAATTAATTATATAAAATGTGGGAGAACCACCCAAATATGTTTTCTTTTTTATTCTTTTATGAATAAATAACGAACCTCAACCCAATACCATTTCATGGGTAATTGCACATTCCATATACGCAAAATTCACCTTTCAGGCACCGGTTATTGCACTTCCCGCAGTGCCTCTTATCAAGAGAAAGCAGCACACACTCTCCTCTGCAACAATCTTCTGTGAATTTACACTTTTTCTTGCATGCACCACAATTATGTTTGTCTGTAGACAAGTCCAGGCACTTGTTGTTGCAGCATTTATAGTTTTTACCTTGCAGAATTTGGCATATTTCGTTGTCTTTGTTGCAGTGGTCAGCGGCTCTAGGATTCTTTTCTTCTGCGAGGAACCGACTCAACCTTTTTGAAGGTATTAGCTCCTTTCCATCGTTCATAATATTAAGCCCCTGTGACAATCTAGTTGAAGTATCGATACTTTGATCATCATAGGATGGTTTCTCTTCAACTTGGCCGATTCTTTTCACTGTGAGAGTGGTGGAGAGAGCCACTGTTATAGCTATAATGAAGATTATCCGGACGAGCTGCATTGTTTTGGAATTCAAGAGAGAGAGAGAGAGAGAGAGTTGTTCTTCTTCCTCCTCTTGATAACAACGCGAGAGCTGGTTTTGAAACCTTAGGAGAGAGATGTAGAGCAAATGGCGTGTAAGACTTCGGGTTTATAACAGGACAAAAAGGAAGGGTTGACGCGGGGAAAGTTGTAAAAGGTGGATCCTGCTCTTATGAAACGTGCGGCAAAGAGTGCGGTACTGTCAATATTAATCTAGGGTTTAGTTGCTAATGAAGAAATTTCACTTGTAAATATTAATTTGGGAGCACCCTAACTCACGCAAAGCAGAAGGGCTCACTTCTCAGAGTTGAAGAACAAGCAAGCCCTGCAAATTGCCGACATGAGCAAAATGAGGCACGCAGTTCGTGGAAGCGAAGGGAAGTAGCGTTTAAGAAACTAGGTAGCTTTTGTTATTAAAAATTAACGTTATTGGCAGACTCTGAACACCCGGCTAAGTGGCATAATAGTTTGTAGAATATATAAAACTTGAGCAGAAAGATACCGATAATGTACAATCTATCTCTCAGTTTCTACTAATTATATTAATAAAGCAATAAGTAAACCATATATGAAGAATTAATATCTTTAGTTGAAAGGAATGCATCATACATTATATTTTTCATTTCATAGGAGAATCAATGAAGGAGCAACAGGTGTCAATTGTACAAATACAGATTCAGGCTCCACTTTACATGTTTTTATATATAAAAAAACTAGCTCCTACTATAAAATTAACAAAGACAAACAAAAATATTTATAGAATCTCTTCGTCTGTATATTACAGCGATATTTACTACTTAAATTTTTTCATCACTAAATTTGTTGGTAAATATTGACAGGAATATCTCCTCAATATATACCGAGAGAATTACAGTGAGAAAAAAATGAATTAAAAAAAAAGTTAAACAATATGATGACATATAAGTTTTACAGACAAAGTTACTAACAGAATTAGTCTGATGGTAAAATTCATCCGTAAATATCCCAATGACATTACGAGCGATATTACACTGAGTTGGATTCAAAAAGATAAATTGTATAGTGACGTGGCATTTCTTTTGACACAATTATCAATGGAGTTACTATTAGAATAATTCCATCACTATTATTTAATTTATGATCTAGCACTCAACTTTTTCCTCCCCCTCCCCCATTTCTACTTCTTCATTGCCCATTTTTTCTGCAACAAACAACCCCACAATCTCAACACAACTTAACTTGCCCCAACTTTTCTAGCTACCATAACACTCGGTTTGTTAGCATCTATGTTTTGATTCAAATTTTATTGAGGATTATCTACCTTAAGTAAGCAAATATATCCCTTTTATTTTTAATTTGAACACAATTTTAAAATGTTAATTTTTTTGGAATAGTTTAGTATATGTATTTTGTTTCGGTGTTTACTTGTTTTATAGTTTTTTTTCTATAATAAACTTGGTGTATGAATTTATGATTTGTCTATATTAGGGTTTGTTTTAGATTTTGTAAAATTATATTTGTTTGTAAATTGTTAAAATTTATGTTGAATTACCAAATTAAGTGTTTTATGATGAAATAAATAATGGTTTATTTAATAAGTTTTTTTTATATTTTATTAATTTTATTGTCGAGTTGTAATTTCTGGTAAATGCGTACAAATTTACATATAGATAATTGATAATGAATTAAGAGAAGTATTAAAATAGATTGAATAAGTTTAAGTTAGACTTTTATTTTTGCAAATTAATTTATTAATGTTGTTAATTAATAGATGTTGTCATCATTATTTTATATAGGTTTGGTAGAAGTGATGGATGAGCGTTCATGAATGTATAGAGGCTCACCCTATAAAATTGTGGAAGATAGATTATTATAATATGATTCAGGGTTTTCTTAACTATACAATATCTAATCTGATAAATATTAGTGGAGACGGTATTAAGTGTCTATGAAAGAGGTGTAAAAATAAAAAGTTTATTGATCCAAATGTTATAACGAAGTATCTTCTACAAAAATGATTCATATAGCAATACATGTATTGGTATGCATATAGAGAACCATATGTTCCTCATAGGACTATGATATACAGGATGGTTAAGTTAACTTCTAGTGCTAGTAACGTGCATGGAGTTGTAAATGATAATAGTAATCCTTATAAGAATATGGTTATAGATGCAATGAGAATAAATTAAGGTCATGTCGATCATTGTCTAATCATAAATGAAAAACCTAATGCAAATGAGGCCAGATTTTTTTATCTTTTGAAAGATTCTGATGAACCATTATAGGATGGTTGCATAAATCATAGTAAATTATCTGTCGTTGCACAAGTGTTGACTATCAAGTTAGATTATGGGTTAAGTGACGCTGGTTATGATAGAATTATCAAATAAGTGAAAACATTTTACCTGAAGAAAACAAGTTGAATGAGAACTTCAATACTACTAAGTCCATGATTTTTTTGACTGGATTGAGCGTACTTAAGATAATATTCCCTCCATTATTTTTTGATTGAATGAAGTATCAAATCATACATTTACCTTTTAAGGCAAAAGTTGAAGACTCAGTCTAGTATAGATGGATGTATACATTTAAGATGTTAGAGATTACAAATGCAATGTGATTAAAAATTTATTGTTATATTTTCTATAATTCAAGACATTTGATTAGTTCCATGTAGGTACTTGTTCAATCGTACATAAAAAAGTTAAAAACAAGATGCATGTTAAGGGTAGAATATTTATTTAATTAATTAATTAAATTTCTTTAAAAAAAAAACTAAATTTAACAAAGTATAACAAAAAAGACTCAAGATAAGTTAGATCATTTTCAAAAATAATGAAAATCCTATTGAAAGAGAATCAAAAAAATATTACAGCTTAATCTCCAATTAAATAAATATTGAAGAATAAAACTAAAAAAACATAAGCTTATAAAAAGGAAAAAAACTAAGCAAACTCGAGTGAATCTCCCAAATTCGTAACCCGTGAAGTTTTAAACCCAGGCTTAATTAAAAACCTCAATTCCCAACTAATTTTATATTGAATGATGAAATTAAAAAAAATATATCAATTTAAAAATTTAAAAAAAATATATCAATTTTAAAGTTTTGCAAAGTAAAAAATATTACAATCAAAAGAATGAGAATCAAATGTGGTAGTAAAAGAAACTGAAAGAGGATGAAATTAAAAAAAAAATATGATAGTAAAAGAAATGGAAAGATGATGAAATTGAAAAAAATAATATAATTTTATAATTATTTCAAATTAAAAAAATAGTAATCAAAATAAAAAGGACTACATTTGAAGGAAAAACAAATTAAGGGGTTGTTTTAAAAATCAGAAGGGTTAAGCATGGAAATCAAGGAAAAGAGAGAAAATAAAATGGGGGAATCGTTGACAACGCCTAATCAGAGGTTCATTGGGCACATGAGCTGTTTAGGAATGAAGGGGCCACTAAGATGACTCAAATGCTGATGTGGAAGCCATCATTTGGCTGCCGGGCAACACCACAAGTCTCGTCCGAAAAGTGCAACACACTTATTGACATGAGTAATACACATGTCAACAACTTTTGTTTTCCAAATACTATTTATATTTATTAAATTACTCAATTACTACTGTATCAACTTAATTATAACAAAAAAAACATAAACATATAAAAAATTCCTTAGACACCGACTAAATTTTTTTTACCTTTAATGACAATTGATTTATTTTATTATGCTATAAAAAGTGAAAATACTTCAAAGTCTATAGGCACTAGTCAAACAAATCTTGATTTTAAAGGTAATTTAGTCATTTAAATATCCTAAAACATTTTAAAAGATATATATGTCCCTAACAAATTTGATAATATCTAATGGATTAGAGAAACGATGGTATTACTCTAAAAGCTAGTACAATGATTTTTTGTTGTGAATGGCAAAATAGCAATTTATTATACCAATCCATAATGAAATGTGATTGGGTGTATAGTGAAAGAATCATAGTTTTCTTTTATAATATTTGTTAACAACTCTCTAAAGTGTCAGTTATATGTCATATAACCAAGGGCAACACATGTTGAAGTCTAATTTGGTGTGTTATCTGTAGTAATGGTGAGCAAATAAATTGAAAAAACCAAATAAATCAAAAAACATTAACCAATAAAACTAAACCCCCTCCAAAAAAAAAAACTTAAGTAACCAATCAGAAAATGAAAAAAAATTGATATGGTTGGTTTTGGTTTTAAAAGTCTAAAACTAATTTAACTAAATCGAATCAAACTGGTTCAACCATCATCAAAACCAACTATAAATAGCTAATAATATAAAAAGAAAACTAAAAACCATAGAAATTTTACCTCTCCTCACATAGACACAAACACTCAACTGCTCTTTTCTGACCATCTCCTCACAAACCCTTTTTTTTCTCTTTTCTTTCTTTCTCTGATAAACAAAGACAGACCATTTTTTTCTTCCTTGTTGTCTTTTCTTCCTTTCCTCTACACATCATCAAAACATGCTCTCTATTTTCATCCTAGTTAATGAGTTTTTTTTTCTAATAGTACACATATTTGATTTGTTTTTATTTTGTTTTTTCAATTTCTCTTGTAGGTTCTATATATATGCACATTTTTTTACCTTTTTTTTTAATGTTTTTTTTCTATATTTGATTTTGAGTGTTTATTTATTGTTTTCTTAAATATACTAATTTGTTTTATTTGTCTCATCCTTCTTGATGGATTTGATTCACATCTCCTTACTTTTTCACAAAAATGAACTATTATTTTTTGCTCAATTTGTGTAGGAAGTCATTACATTAAAGTTTGATGAGGACGAGGGTTTCATCATTGTTATTAGAAGTTGTGGTGGAAAGATATGACACTTTTCATGGCAAATCACACTATTAGATTTAATAATTTTACTGACATAAATTTTTGTTGGCATTTATACTAGCAATCTTTCAGTATGTATAATATGGATGAGATCACAAATAGAAACAATCCGTCAGAAAAACTCTTATTGATAATTTATGGACTATTGGTGAGTTCTTTGATAATAAATATATCAATGGATTTATGGATAGACAAAGCGCGTAGAAAT